CGACACGTGGCCGCAGAGAGTCATCATCTCCTGATACAGTCGGTACACCGGACGCCGTCCTAAAAACGGAACGAAACTACTGCTGGCGTCCTTTCGTAATCTCCACCGTCTGACTTCCGTCTACTCGTTCTGTCTTTTTCCCACAAAGTGAAAGGGCAATATTCAGAGACTTGTTTGTTGTTTCAAGAAAGAGCATAGAGGTGAATGTCAGTTTGGGCTTATGGTGTTCATGAGGATGCGTAGGAAGTGCAGTTTCTGGGCGATAAAGAAAATATAGAGGCAATTGTTTTATTTCTCTCTCTCTCCATATATATATATATATATATATATATATATATATATATATATATATATATATATATATAAGTATAATACCTTTACCATATGGAATTCATACTACTCGTTGCACTACTTGTTTGTAGAATGGGCATTACGTGGTTATTCCACAGTAGTTGATTGTCTTCGACTCAACTGTTCATTGAAATTTCGGTTCTGACTCTAAAAAGTCATGTCCCGGAGATTTAACTCCCAGTTCTGCATTGATTAATTTCCGAAATTATTCACCTGATTATTCTCTGGAGTTCATATACCGGAAACCGCTAGAGAACGCTGGGGGTCCCACTGAAGAGCCGAACCCCTCGCAGCTGTGTCACGCAGCGGCAGAATATCGGCGAAACACGTGTCTGGGCTTATAGCAAGTATCTAGGTCGGGAGGACGGTATAATACCTTTAATATATATATATATATATATATATCTAGGCAGAATGATATTACCGACAAAGACAAGGGAGACTGGAATGGCCATTTCTGGCTTATTAGCCGTCGTCAGCCAGCCATACCCAAGCCCGAAGTGTGGAACACCCGAGCCTCGAACTCGCGACCTGTTGGCTTAGAAGTCAACGCCTCTACTCACCGGGCCACGAGCCCGTTGTCCTGTCGGTTTTCGATCGGGAATATACAATGTTAGGGGGCGCTCACCGATCGTTCATACGGAACTCACTCGTTCCGTTGTGCCTTAAGGGCTCTGCCTATATATCATGCGCCGCTGTGCGGCTGCTGGTTGGGCTCGAGAGAGAGCCCTTAGGGCACAACGGAACGAGTGAGTTCCGTATGAACGATCGGTGAGCGCCCCCTAACATTATATATATATCTATATATATATACATACATACAGCGAGATGAGCGTGTCTCGTAGCCTGACAGGTAAACGCTTCCGTCTAACATATAGCTATATATCTGCAGAATAACATGGCCGACAAAGACAAGGGAAACTGGAATGGCCATTTTGGCTTATTAGCCGTTGTCAGCCAGACTTACCCAACGCCAAAGTGTGGGACACTTGGGGCTCGATCCCGAGACCTGTTAGTTAGAAGTCCAACGCCTCTAAGCACTGAGAAGCGGGCTGGTTGTTCTGTCAATTTCGATCGGGAATATACAGCGGTAGTGGGCGGTAATAACATACTGCCTATATCATGCGCCGCTGTGCGGCTGCTGGTTGGGCTCGAGAGAGCGAGAGCCCGTAAGGCACAACGGAACAAGTGATTTCCGTAAGAACGATCAGTGGGCGTTCCCTACCATTGTATATTCCCGATTGAAACTGACAGGGCAAGGGACTCGTGGCCCAGTGGTTAGGGGAGTGGACGTCTAACTAACAGGTAGCGAGTTCGAGCCTCCGGTGTTCCACACTTCGGGCTTGGGTATGGCTGGCTGACGACGGCTAATAAGCCAGAAATGGCCATTCCAGTCTCCCTTGTCTTTGTCGGTAATAGCATTCTGCCTATATATCATGTACCGCTGTGCGGCTGCTGGTTGGGCTCAGGAGAGAGCCCTTAAGGCACAACGGAACGAATGAGTTCCGTAAGGACGATCGGTGAGCGCCCCTCTACCAGTGCTTGACTTTGTCAATTAATAAGCACAGGATAAGATGAATGGCATTACGGTCACGTTGCGACAAGCAGGCGTTTAAAATGTTTTTTGTTAGGAACTCCTATTTCCGAGCCTTGAACGATGAGTGGCCCCCTAAAACAGTTTTGCACAAAATAAGGCTATCCGTATGCCGCTTGTAAAGGAATCTTATGGGAATTTTCTGCGACTTTAACTTTGCAGAATGCTGAAGACAAAGGTTGCTTGGGGTCGGTTACTCCAAGTGATATCTCTCTCGATGATTTTGGTCAGAAATATACAAAAGTTTTTAATACCGAAATTCTAGAAGCCCTTACAGGAAAATCGCAAGTATGAATAGGGTTCCAAACCATATAAAACATTTCGCTTTCTGAATAATAATTTACAGGAAAAGGTGGCCTCTCAAATGGTAATTTGAGTGAATTTTCAGATCCTACTTGAGAAAACAATGGGATGGATAAAATACTTGACCCTGCATAAATACCGGAAAATAGGAGATGAGGCGTATACTTGAGCAAACATTATTACAGATGGGGATTTTAGCAGATGACTAGAGAAATCCTCTATGGAGTATTGTGCCGTCTCGTGCACTCTAGGGTCACGTCCCCCTAAGATCACTAATGTAACGTCGCTGATGAAACATGGGTTCTCCGAAAAACGAATTTACATCCAATAGCTAATTTATTTACTGATATGTCTTTCTTGTTTAAGTTAAATACCTAAAATTATTGATGGCACCCAGAGTAGGCTTTGAATATGTGGCGCCCATTGTGCAGTATCCCGTCTTAATTATATCTAGTCCAACGTGTGGATTGGATGGCATATCACAAAATACCAGCTCAATTCAATCGACTTCACACCTCTTGACTTGTATGGAGACATTTCAAAGATAAAGTCTGCACTACGGTCGCTGAATTAAGAGTAGACATAAAACAAGAAGAACATGCTTCTTGAAGCTTTAAATCCCACTGCTTCGATTTATAGGCAATGTTCGGAACAGATGGGGGAGTATGTTGGAAACAGACGTTAAAAAGACCGTCGAAAATGTCCGTTAATTCCATCCTATTTGAAAATGAGGTATATTTTTATTAATAGTTCTTCAGATTGGCTTAGTATTCTTTGTCCTCGCTATTTACACACGTTATATTATGTATTACTATGCGAACATGCTTGTAGTTACAGTGATTTAGTATATAGAGGTCATCAGAGATCATCTGCACGCCTTAGTATGTGGATATCTTGTGGGTTTCAGTCACCTGATCGACGATCCGATCTCCAGATGCCTGGAGGATCACAGACTGCCTGGTCATCAGAAGGCTTCCTGCTTTCGAATGAGCTGGGAACGTTAGGATCCAGGTGTCGGATGTGAATTTGGGCCTCAATACATATGACAGCCTATATACGGCGGGAGAAACCCGACCTATGTAAACAGTTAGACCACGTGGCCAACCTCAGCTTGCCCTGATAGACCTGAGCCCCTTTAGCTTTTCGAAATCCCTCGGCACGTTTGCTTACCCACTTATTTTTCCTATGTTGCGTTTTGAAGTTACCATTTTATTGATAAGTCTACACGCGGTATACGCTGACCTTGCTGTTTTACACTGATTTTCTCTGTCAAAATTCAAACCTTTGTACCTTTCTCACTTGTTATTTCTGTTATGCAACGACCGGCAGCAGTTGAGAAGCGGTCGCGAAATTTTGTGGTGCCATTAAATTCTGCTGTCCTTGCTTGCTTCAAATTGATTCCGGGGAAATATTCCTTCAAGTTTCATATGACGAATTGTTGGGCGATTTCTGAATGCCTGCTCTTTTCGTACACATACAGTACCTGTGCTAACTCATGAAATGCCGAGGTCAAAATTATAGTGGACAATGTAGTGTATTTTTGGTGTCGTTATTTGTGTTTATTCGGTTGAAATAAGGACGAAAAGACCGTTTTCTGAAGGAAAGTTTGATACGGATCTGTATATTAAATAGAAAACGGGCCGGATTAAGGCGAAATCGGAGGATTCCTGATATTCAAGCAGTTTCCTACGCTATTAAAGCTTTCGGATGGAAATTCTTTGTGTAACCTTATTAATCTGTTTAAGAAAATTAATAAAAGGACGAAATTTTTTGATAAACTTTCGAACAAAAAGAAAAAATTAAATTTCAATATCAACAAAATCAGGGAAATGCAGATAAATTATTTCTTATTGTGTTCAGGAAATAACGTGCGATTCTTTATCTAAAAATTCTATTTTACAAATTCGTAAAGTTTTATGTTTCAAAATACCGAAATAAAAAAGTTTATCAGTGTGATTGTTTTACCAGACTGAAAATGCGTGTCGTAAACGAATATATATTGAGTTCGCGCGACATGCCGTCACTGCTCTGCCACGCCAAACGATAACTATGTCTAAACAATACTTATCCGAAGTTGACTTCCAGCGCATTCGAAAATTAGCGGCGGAAGGAATCCCGCGTGAGTCGTTAGCTAATATTTTCAATATTAGCAAGGTCACTCTGTGGCGCATTATTAATGATAAAACTGTTCCTAGAAATAAGATAGGGGGACCAAAACGGTCCACAAGTAAGCAAGACGACGATTTTATTCGTCGTACATTAAAAAAGTTTCATTACATGCCCATTGAGGCCATTCAGCGGGAACATCTGCCGATGTTTTCTATGAACATCATTAGAAAAAGGATGAAGGAATTTGAACTGCAGCGGCGGAAGGCCATGATTAAGCCATATTTAAGTAGAAAACTAATTAGAGAACGGCTTTTATTTGCTAAGAATTATATTGAATACAGATCTTCATTTTGGAAGAGCATTTTCTTCTGCGATGAGGTTCTATTTTTAGACAAGCCTACGAAGTCGCTCCAAACTGTCATATGTGGAAAGAACTTCCCAAGAGAACATACCACACCGACGGCAACATTCAAGAACTGTCGGCGGATGATGGTTTGGATGGCGATTAAATTCGGTGAGCGGCCTGTCTGGCGGTCAACATCCGACACCATCAACAGCAAGGTGTTCATTGCAATTGTCAAGGATGCTTTCGGCTACAACGGCATAAGTCGGCGCCGAATGGATACTGTAATTTTGCAGGACAATGCACCTGTCCACCGCTCTAAAGAGGTACGAATTTGATGCCGCTTGCAAACATAATCTAACATTTTAGACAACAACCACGCTCTCCGCAATTGGCCTCCAATCCATTTTCATCCCGGCCAACAGTCCCGACCTTAATCCAATCGAAAATCTTTTTGGAATAGTCAAAAGAAATTGGCACAAAGCTAAGAAGACTCTTTCAATGCAGGAAAAATTGGATTTCATACTCAATAATTACATTTTACAATCCACCATAGATAACCTTGTCATGTCTATGTCGGACAGACTTTCTGCTGTTATTAATTCGAATGGACAATCTACAAAGTACTAATTTTTTGTATCTGTTTCTGTCCTTAATTATTTTTGACCTTTTATGCGCCCTCCTCCTTTATACGTCCTCATACGTAGCCTTTATTAACTTGGTTGTAATATAGGCGTTTCTCGAAAATGTGACTTTTGTCGAAAATTATTTATTTTTATCTCAGTAAATAATATTTTCTTAACCAAACTTTGCTTTATTTCTTTGGCACATCGTTTATTTTCCGCTATCAGACTTTGGGAGCCGTAGTGTTTACCGATTTTGCGTTAAAGGCGTTAACCTGTGTTAATTCGTGACATTTCATGAGTTAGCACAGGTACTGTACATTTGATGAATTTGACCCTTTACATGTTATATGTTTCCCCTTCGCTCTTTAGCACTAGACCACAATTATGACGTTAGTGAAGGAGACGAGCTATCTGGACAGTGGGTTTGGTGATAAATTCCCACTCTATGCATAAGTTTAATCCAAGGTCAGGTTTTCGCTTCTACGATGTCCGCATCTTCCGTCACAGTAGGCTACCAACCAACCTGACACTTCCCTCCAGACGAAGACGTCAATGTGACCGACGGATCCTGGTCCAACATAGACCAAAAAGCTCTTGTGTTACTCTCCACCATCTTGACAACTCAGTATCTCCTACAATGACCATGATGATGATGTTGATGATGATGATGATGATGATGATGCTGCTGCTGCTGCTGCTGATGATGATGATGATGATGATGGTGGTGGTGGTGATGATGATGATGATGATGATGATGATGATGATGATGATGATGATGATGATGATGATGATGATGATGATGATGATGATGATGATGATGATGATGATGATGATGATGATGATGATGATGATGATGATGATGATGATGGCGGCGGCGGCGGCGGCGGCGGCGACGTCGACAACGACGACGACGTGTGGTGGCGATGACTCGGATGGCTATGCATATATTGCGCCAAATGTTCTGTTGGACAGGTTCAAAGGCTCAACCTTCTAAGATTTTCGGGACATCTTGGTAGCCTGGCGGTGTTCTCGGTACAAAACGACGATCTGAATCTTGGGGGATTTTCATGTTTTCAACCTAACTACACTACATGCAATTCATGAAGGCCAACAAACAGGCTCCATGCATGTCCCCCTGCGGTTATCAACGTCCTACGAGAATCAGATTATCCAGAAGGTCCGCGAGGCCAAAATTTGTTCTTTTGGCCAGCCAGCTTTCTTGGCATGTGGTGAAGGATCACCTGTTGAGGAAGCATACCAGCTTTCTGTTGAAAACAGGTTCATCTGATGAAGGTAAATGTCGGCAGGATGCTCAGTATAAGAAACGCTTGTCAGGAGCATGTTGACTCCCGAGTCTTGAAAAGATGTTTACATAGTCTTGAGATATTTGCCTCCAAGTAACTTGTCGTCCGAGATCCCATAATTAGTAGCTCCTCCTGATGGCTCCAAAGCATCGTTCACCCGTATGACCCTTCTGATGCGCATGCTATTCAAGTGCTTGGTTTAACTCCCAGTTTATGTGTGCATTTCCATTTGTTCACGCATTGGTTACGGATGCGTCCATCCGACGGCCTTTTGGGGAGATCGTGAGTACCCACTAGGCGGATTGTTCTGTTTCTCCTCTGTAAACGTTGTTGCTGCAAATACTGGCTCAAAATCAGACCGACAACCTGGACACTTCATAGTCCGGGATTCCTTGATCGTGCATGCCTAGGGGGTGCATGATGGCTGAGTGAGAGCCTGCTTCGTTGTTGGGTCATTTTACTGGTTTCAGAGAAACATAACCTAGCGGAGACAATCGCGATGACTGCACTGTGGTGTGATATTAAAAAAAATCAGATGGGGAAACACTCAGGAATGCTTGGTGATCGAGGCGATAGAAGCAGGCGTCAGTGGGAGCGGTGGACATATGGTGGTGACGCTTGGGGAAGAGGAAATTGTACTCGCTGGTTTTCGAGCTGCTAACTCCCCACCAGCCCTCGTTGAACGAATTGCACAAGAATGGCTGGATTCTCACACCCTGGTAGGACACAACATACGAGCCCCCCCCCCTCCCCACCCCTCGTCATCTATGCGGTCTGGCGCCAAATTCCATGCAAGTGCTAGGGTTATGGCAGCGCCAAGGTTGGGGACGAAGTACGCGAATAGGCACCCCTCCTGTGACTCGGCATAAGATTCCCTTACGTACTCCTCCGTCAATTTTTCTGATCCTCTACAATTTGCATACAAGGCAAAGCGTAGCACCTTGGATGCTGTTGCTTTAGTTGTTCATTCAGCTTTGAGAGACTTAGACAAGGGATGCCGTGCATATGCATGTGCTTTTCTCGACTACTCATCCGCTGTTCCAGCGATCGCTTCTTCTTCTGATCAACTAGTTCCTGGAACTCACATTTTCGCTTGTATCGGCAATGGACTCATACTCAACAATCAGAAATCAGTACAGTGTGTGTTTCGATTGCGACCCTCTCCCATTCCTGAACCTTTGGATACTCTTCCCAATGAGGTATCTTCTTTCCGGTACCTAGGTGTTACTTTATCCTCAAATCTCTCTTTCTCTCTTCATATGGAAGCCCTTTTGACAAAAATTCAAAAGCTTATTTATTACATTCGTCGTCTACGTTCATATCACACACCCCAGCCCTTAATCTGGCGATTCATAGATGGCTGTATTGTCCTCCAGTTATTTTTCCAGCTTTACTTAAAAAAGATCTAATTATTTTTAAACGTGTCATTCGAATGCTCGCCTCTGCTGCTGGTGTTTCCTATCATATTTTAGTTGATATCATCGTGCAGCGACACTTCAACTCGGTGGAGCAATTTGCTGACCGAATTCTGAATGACACCATCCATCCCCTTCATAATGAGTTAATGGCTGCAAAATCCTTACGCCCCATGCGTCGATGCTTCCGCCACATCCCTTGCCGCACTTCGGCCTATCGGAATTCCATACTGCCATTTCTAGCCCGGTATCTCACCTGCAAAGATGTTGAAAAACGAAAACTAAAACTCGATCTTGCACCTTAAAGTCCTTTTTTATTCATATATAATTATGTCCACCTGTCCAGTACCTGTTAATCTCTATGGTAATCACTGTGTACTGGAGAACCGTTTTTGCTGAAAGTTTTGAAAGTTATTTTCAAAATAAAGTATTACTCTCTCTCTCTCTCTCTCCCTCTCATAAGAGCTCATGAACTACGGGAGTGGGGGCGGGTCATATCCCCTATCTTACTCACATTTCTTGCTTATTGTGCTCCTGAAACGGGCCACGCGGTAGATATCGTGGACCAACAGAGGGGGGGGGGCTAGATAGGGACCAAACAGGCGTTATTGGGAAGGCGCATCAATAGCAAATACTATCATTGGGGACGTGACGGCACGTCCAGATGCAGGTCTACTCCATGACAGTTGGGATCTGAGGCGCGTCCCTTTTTTTATTTATGTGCAAACTCCTGACCAGTTGTACGTCCTGGACCGGGCGGGTGTGGTGGTACGCTTAGGTGCGGGTTTTTTGGTGTGCCACCCGCATGCTCCCCTCCCCCCTCCCGCCTCCGGTTTTCTTGACTCTGTCTTGCCATAGAATCCAGGTGGGAAAGTAGGAGAGTGTGCGGTAGGTGCTGCGAAAGTCTGCGCACACAAGTCACCGCAACTACTCCCACCCTGTTGTAGGGCACACGACGGGGATCGTCGAAATCGACGGTCGAACTGTCGAATCTAGCTCCTTCTACAGAGTCTAAACCGCACAGGGTTCAGAAGAAGAATCATCATACATTTTCAATGTATGGAACCTACAGTAGATACGCTATCTCATAAAATGCTCACTAAATTTCCAGAGCTTGTTTTGAGTCAAAAAGACTGCGTAGGTACGCTTCCAAAAGTAATTGTCGTGCTGTACAGTGCGTGACCTATCTCATGAAATGTTGGCTGAAATTCTGAAATGCGTTTTCGGACTTGGCAGGATGTCGGCTTTTAAATGCACTTCTTGTCAATCTCCTGTAGAAATCGTAGTCGGTACAAAATTACTACTTATAAAGCATGAATTTTTCCCATTGATTTTCGATGGTCTTGCAAATTCAAATATATCTTATAGAAACCACAAACAAAAATATGCTTTCCTTTAATCAATCAACAGATAATCACGCTTTCTTTATATTTTATACTTAAGGAAGGAGTATAATTAAGTCTTAAAAAAGTTTTTAATTATGAGACTTTTTAAGACCGCGATATGTCCATTCACATAGCATCGTACCTGACCGTTTACCACTGCTCCTCATGAAATGTACAACATGGTCCGCATCCATTGCAAAATTTTATGGACTCTTCATAATATCTCTTTAATGACATAGAAAAATATGGGATTTTCTTTACGCAGAACGCATGCACCTTGTAGAGTGTAATCACTAAGCGCTAATGCAACGAATGATCAGGCTCCAAATTTTTCGGCAATTGGAAAACTTCTTTAAAACCTAATTATACTCCTGCCCTAAGTATAAAATATAAAGAAGACGTGATTCTCTATTGATTGACTAAAAGAAAGCATATGTTTGTTTGTGGTTTTTACAAAATATATTTGAATTTCCAAGACCATCGAAAATCGACGGGAAAAATGCATGCTACTTAAGTAGTCATTTTTTACCGAGCACGCTTTCTACAGGAGATTGAAACGAAGTGCATTTAAAAGCCGACATCCTACCGAGTCCAAAATGTTATAAGAGTATGCCGCAAGATAAGCAGTATTACAACCGCGACCAAGTAATCCTTCCTAATCGAAAACGCATTTCAGAATTTCAGCCAACATTTCATGAGATCGCTCACGCACTGTATGTTCTCGTTAGGATGCCGGTAAGTGATTCGCGTAATCAAATTCCGGTCAGATGCGGTTGTATAGCCCCAGCCGCCTGTAATACGTGACCGGTGGTGGTAGGGGTTTTTGCAGGGTGGGGCCGGGAAACACACAGGCGACAAGGTCAATTAGTTGTATGCAAAAAACGCTATTGGGAATGCGCGGTTGTACTTTGAGTGGTTGATAACTAGTTGCCTTAACCCCCTAATCCTAACCTTAACATTAACCCCTAACCCCAAGCCCCAAACTCTAACCCCGAACCTTAACCCCTAACTCCAACACAAACAATATTGTGTCCATCAGGTGGGGCTACATAATCGCATCTTGCCAATACCTTTTCACCAGAAAAACACGCAGATTCTGTACAAATGGACAGAGTTGCCGGCTGGAGAGCTAAAATGCTTCGGAGTTCGTAACCCGCTAATAACAGCTGAAGGACGTGGTACGACGGTCTATGTTTTTTGCAACAGATATAGGCCACGTCCTATATGATACAATGCAGTCTGGATAAAGATTTCGCGGTCATCAAAAATCTCATAATTACAAACAGATCTTAACCAAAAAGCCATGCATCCTTCCTTGAGTGGAAAATTTAAAGATGTAGTTGGCTATAAAATGAGTGTGTTTTCGGTCGGATGTGGTTATGTAGTCTCACCTGAAGTAAACAAACCCCAGTCACCTCTAATACCGGACCGGTGATAATAAAGGTTTTTACAGGTGGGGCTGGGGAATGCACAGGCGACGAGGTCAAGTAGTTGTAGGCAAAAGAAAAGCCACTGGGAATGCGCGGTTGTACTGTGAGTGGTTGAAAAATAGTTGTCGTAACCCCTAAGCCTAGCCCTAATCTCTTACACTAACTGCAACCCCTAACCATAACCCCTAACCTTAACCCCAATAGTATTGTTTACTTCAGGTGGGGCTACATAACCACATCTTACCCAAATTCCTACTTGCGGTTCCGTCCCTCACCCCCCCCCCGCCTATCGTGACTCACACCGGCCAGGAAAGCAAACCCGACGTAAATAAAGGAAGGACGCTTAATTTAAATTGTTTTTTATCCCGTAAACACTCGAGTGATCAGCAATAC